TGGCAAAGGCCTGCGTCAAAGCAGCACAAACACCTGCTGCTGCTGCTGCTGCTGCTGCTGCTGCTGCTGCTGCTGCTGCTGCTGTTTCAGGAGCTGCCGCTGCTGCTACTCCGAGGATTTTGCTGTTTCTACCTGTGCTGCTGCTGCTGTGGCCCCTGCATTTGCTGCTGCTGCTGCTGCCGCGTCTGCGAGACCTGTGTCTGCGCTGTGCCTGCTGCTGCGGCTTCTGCTGCTGCTGCTGCTGCTGCTGCTGCTGCTGCTGCTGGCCTACCTGTTTCTAGTTCGACTCATTTTTGCGTCTCTGTCCCTTTCAATAATTTGATTGAGAGAATTGGCAGCAGCAGAAGAGAGAAAGACGCCTCCAAAGAGGGCCGCGATGGGCCCCACAGCAGCAGCAGCAGCAGCCAGCGGGGCCCCTGCTGCTGCTGCTGCTGCAGGCCCTGCTGCTGCTGCTGCTGCTGCTGCTGCTGCTGCTGCTGCGTCCACTCCAGCCTGCTGCGCCGCCGCGTAGCCCCCCAAGGAAGAGACAGACACCAGAAGGCTCAGCCTCCCCTTGGACAGTCTCTGTGGGTCAGCAGCAGCAGCAGCAGCAGCAGCAGCAGCAGCAGCAACAGCAGCAGCAGCAGCAGCACAAGGAGACGAAAAGGAAATAAAATGATTTGAAGGGGACTAAAAGGGCCCCATAAAAAAGACACAAAAAGCAACTATAAAGGAATTAAAAAAGAATCAAAAAAGAATTAAAAAATTAATAAAAAGAAATTTAAAAAAGAAATTAAATTAAAATTAAAATTAAAATTAAGAAAAGGAGAAGAGACACCGCAGCACCAACTGGACAGCAGACGAGGAGACACCCGGAGGCAGCAAAAAGAAAAGGAGCAGCAGCAGCAGCAGCAGCAGCAGCAGCACAAGCAGCAGCAGCAGCAGCAGCAGCAGCAGCAGCAGCAGAAGGTAGGGCCTCAAGTACCCAGTAGGGCAGCGTGAGCCGCAGCAGCTGCCTAAAAGGAGACACCCTGCGTGCTGCAGCAGGGACCCTAGCAGCAGCAGCAGCAGCAGCAGCAGCAGAAGCTGTTGCTGCTGCTGCTGCTGCTGCTGAGCCTGGCTTTGCTGCTGGGGGCAGACAGTCCGCAGCAGAAACGCCGTAGAGACACCGCGAGGCCTTCATGGCTGCTGGCGCTGCTGCTGCTGCTGGTGCTGCTGCTGCTGCTGCTGCAGCTGCTGCTGCTGCTGCTACAGCTGGCTCCCGCTGCTGCAGCGCAGCAGAAGAAAAGCCCACGACCCACTTCACCGAGCGACAAGACGCGTTACCGCTGCTGCTGCTGCTGCTGCTGCTGCTGCTGCTGCTGCTGCTGCACCCTAGGCCCTTCTCCGTTCCCCGAGCTAGCAACCTTGCTGCTGCCCCTCGCTGGGGGGCCCCCAGGGGCCCCCAGACCCTACAGGGGGCCCCCAGGGGCCCCCTGTAGGGTACCCAGGGGGCCCCCAGGGGGCCCCCCAATGGGGCCCCCAGCCAGGGGACAACAGGGTACCGGGGCCCCCGGCGGGCCTGCAGCAGCAAATTCATTTGCTGCAGCAGCGCAGCAGCAAACTGCAGCAGGGGCTGTGTCTTTCTTTGCTGCAGAGAGAAAGGGCAGCCGCAGCAGCAGCAGCAGCACAGGCTCCTGCTGCTGCTGCTGCTGCTGCTGCTGCTGCTGCAGCTCCTGCTGCTGGATAGCCGGCGTTTTCCTCTCTTCTTTAATTAATAAAGAAGAAGTTGAGCGAATGCTTTGGGCCGCTGCTGCAGCAGTGGCTGCTGCCAGAGAATCATAGCAGCAGCAGCAGCAGCAGCAGCAGCAGCAGCAGCAGAAGGCTGCGGGGAATCCTTGCAGGTACCTGATGATTGGAGTCTCCCTTGAAGCAAAAGGAGACACTTTTGCTGCTGCATGCAAAGGCGCTGAATCCCGAGCAGCAGCAGCAGCAGCAGCAGCAGCTGCTGCTGCAGCCTGCTGCAGCAGCAGCAGCAGCCCCGGCACCAGCAGCAAAAGGACCAGTCCAAGCAGCCGCCAGACCATTCGCCGCAGCTGCAGCAGCAGCAGCAGCAGCAGCAGCAGCAGCAGCAGCAAAAAACCCTCAGCAGCAAATTGCAATAACTACAATTTAGACTTTTTTAATTTTGCTGCTGCTGCTTCCTTGGGGGCCCCCAAGGGGAGCCGACAGCTCCGGGGGGCCCCCCGGGTGTCTCCGCAGAGCTCGCCAAGTCCCAAACCCTAGGCCCTAAACCCTAAACCCTAAACCCTAAACCCTAAACCCTAAACCCTAAACCCTAAACCCTGAATCCTACACCGTAGGCTATCAGCTGATTCGTTTGCCCTTCCGGAGGCTCCCCAGCCACGACTGTTTTGCGCACACTGCGGTAAACCCTGAACCCTAAACCCTAAACCCTAAACCCTAAACCCTAAACCCTAAACCCTAGAGCTCAAAACTACACACTTGAGTCCCGCGTTTGAGAAGGAGGGCTTTGGGGTGT